AAACAACCACTCTTCTATCTGAAGTGAGCTCTAATGCAGAAGTTTTTTTAAAAAAAACACTCTTCCACCGACAAGTCCCGCCTCTAAATCAAAGCCCCGCCCCCGTCGCCATGGCATCCCGCAACCCAATACCAGATGTGCGGCGGCTCCCGCAGCCGGTAGAAGCGCGTAGCAAAGCTAAGGAAAGTGACGAAGGCGAGGGGGCTCCAGAACCGCCTTGGACTCGCGCGGGCGGAGGGAGCCAAGACAGGAACACTCGCCAGTCTGAGTGTTTTTCGCTGCCGGAGGCCCAGCACGGCCGGGCAATTCTTGTTCGTGGCTTGTGGCATTCGCGCCCTGATGGGAGGCGCCTCCTGTCGGCTCCCGTAACCGGACGCAGCGCATCACGGGAAGAAGAGTCCACTTCGAGAGGCATGTTGGGCAAAAGGGTCGGATATTTGCATCCACGTGAGGGAAACAAAAAAAAACCTGACTTTTTACAGCATTGTGGGAAATGTAGTTCTTGAAATATGGTTATGAAGTTAAGCCTCAGAACTCATTCCCATCAGCGTCAATGAGCTGGCTCCTTTATACTATTAGGATCATAGTCTACTGCCTTAATTTTGTTGAACTGAACAAAACCTCCTTTTGCGTATCTCTTCCTCAAAGTGGGCCAGTGACATCTTTTTCTGGCTGCTACATCTCTGAGCACTCCAAGTGCAAAAAAATAAGGCACTAACCATTTTTGTATGTCCGTTAGAGGAGGAATTGTAATTTAGATCTTGCTTGGCACTTTGTATTTAGTGGCCTAAGCTTGCTTTTAATCACAATTTAGTTTGATGGGACTTTCATTTTTAAAAATCCTCTTATAAAAGTAATGTGCTCACTTCATATAACCAGGAAGATGTGAAAGGCCATGCCAAGATTTTATGTGCTGTCATTTGGGTAAGAGCTCAATTGGATGAAGTATCACCTAAATGTAACATGAAACTTAGAGTCAATATCCAAAATACACAATGCACAATGTTTTTCATTATTAGAGTATAGTGTCTTCATAGTTTCAACACACAACAAACATATCTGGCAACCTAGTTTAATTGGAATTTTTTCAGGCCACTTACTTGAATATTCCTGGATGCTTGGCCAATTCTTTTTTTTACTTTTGTCCTTTAAATCATTGTAGGAGGTAGTAGTCTGGGACACAGTGGCTCAGTGGCTAAGACTCTGAGCTTGTTGATCAGAAAGGTCAGCAGTTCAAATCCCTAGCACCGCATAACGGAGTGATCTGTTACTTGTCCTAGCTTCTG